TGTCATGGCATATTTATTTTACTACTACTATCATGAAATGATGCGAGAACCCTACTTCCCCCAAACTTGAGAGAAGCATTGTCCCCAATACTGACTAAAACTAGGGAAAATAAAACTACATGTTATGAATGCAATGCAAATACAAGGTACATTGTCTTTAAATGGGTGGTGGTGCAGCGGTTGCGTGGCGAGTGCGCTTTCCTAGCTTGGCAGGGCTAGAGTGCTCTGAGTTAGACACAGGTTCGGCTGGAGGAATGCTAGGTCCTTCTGGAACGGCTGGGAGTGGGATCTCCTGATACTGAGATGCCTTCCACAGGCAACGTCGGCTCCTACGCAAAGGAGCTTGCCGTGGCATCTTTGATTGTGACTCCTAGGTGGACTCAGTGGGATGTGGTACTTCAGGTTGCTCTTTTTCTATCGGTGCAGCATATTGCGGTAAATCAGGGTGTTCTGCTGCCAAGGGTTCAACAAGTTGCGCTAGTTCCGGGATATTAGCGAGTTGGAGGTTGGCTTCTTGATCTGTGTCGGGTGACACTACATGGATGGGATCAGGGTCATCGGTCTCTTCAGCGTTAGCAGACTCTTCAGGTTCAGCGGGCTAGGGACTCTCTGCACCGTACGACTGAGGGGCATCAGTATTGGTAGGATGAAATGCTTCTGCAGATGCCTCGGTATCATCATTCGGTGGCACGAGTATGTCAGGAAAGACAGGAATGGTGAAGTTAGTGTGCGGGAGGAATTCCATCAAGGCACTGGTGAGAAATTCATCTCGGCGTTTGGCATAGGCAAAATATGTCATCAGTTTGTCAGACAGTTGCCTGATATGCTCGTGAGTGCGCTGGACTGCCTGCTCCAGGGTATCAGAATTTGCCTTGGAATGTTACAATGAAGAAACGCGAGATATGGAAGCCTCTTTTTCCTTCCCTTTTACTTCCTTCAGTCCCAACAACAAAGGAACTTTTGCTATGGTAATTTCAGCAATACCCGGTAGAATCTCATTAAACATTTCTTCAGGAACCTTCTTCTTTCGGCATAAGGCAGTGATGAGGTTTGGAAATACCAGGGCACTGGCAGGTCGCTTCAGACACAGATGAGCTTGTTCCACTATAATTTTCCTCACATCGATGGTTCGCCAGAAAATGATTGAATACAACAAGAGCATTTGCTGGCATGACACGGTAGTATTGTGGGACGTGGGTAAAAGTTTGTGCTTCATGAAATGATTCCACAACTTCACCTGTGGGAGCAGCCTCTCCCGATCCACGATTTTATGACTTATTTGCTGTCCATTCCATTGCGTATTCGAAAGATAAAGGTCTTCCAAGATGCCTTGGCAAGTTTCGTTGTCAGCTTCTTGCGCAAAAGATGTATGATGATCTGTAATATCCTGCAGTTTAAAGTAACGGTTAATGGCAGAAGAAGTAAAATGAATAGAGATGCCACGAACCATCACGGTATGCTGGTTTGGCTCGGATATATTGGAATAAAACTCCTTCACTAAAGTAGCATTGACGGTGGCGGGATGCTTGGCAAATTTTTGCCACTTATGCTTGGTGATCATGTCGAGAACCTCACCTCCGAAGGCATCATCCTCCTTCTCAAAGAAGAAAACCCCAACTCAAAAAATACTCGCCAGTTCTTGATTGTTTGGAACCATTCACAGGCGGAATCATCCATAAACTGTGGTGGCGAAGGTGGTGTAGGGGGACGGGAATGAACCATCGTTAATCAGAGAAGGGAGAAAGAAAGAAAAAAACTTGGGGTTTTGGACGGTTATGGAGGTTTTGGTCAAAGAGAGAAGAGGAAGATAAGATAGAACAAGTCAAGGAAAAATGAAAAGGAAATGAAGATAAAACAAGAAATGAGATTACGTGGGGGATAAAAGGAGAAATGGTGGGGTCTAGACAGGAAGAAGACAAAAATTGAAAGTTAAAAAGTTTTAATCCTAGGTAAAAGTGAAAAAGTTCCCTCCTTTTATGAATCACTTTTGCCGCCCAACTTTCACAAGCTTCCTCCATACTCTTCACGTGATGGTCATGTGGGAAGTATCTTGCAAAAAAATAAAATAAACATAATTAATTAAAAATGAGAAAGACTAAAATAATGGTAGAGTAAAAATTATTTATGCACAACAGTAAATTTAAAATGTCATGGCATCTTTAAGATGCCAGACCCATGTCGACATCATGCAAGAGCAGTGCCGACTTGTCACGCGTAGGTGGGATTCCTTGGTAAGCCTTCAGGTGCTAGCCATTGACTTTAAAAATGGATCCATCGTCCAGGTTCTTGATATCAACAGCGCCTTATGGGTAGACATGGTGAACTTCAAACGGTCCCGACCAGCGTGATTTTAGTTTGCCAGGGAAGAGTTTGAGCCTTGAGTTGAAGAGCAGCACTTTCTGGCCCTTATGAAAATGACGTGGCAAAATATTTTTGTCATGCCACTTCTTAGTATTTTCCTTGTAGAGCTTGGCATTTTCATATACTTGCGCTCGAAACTCCTCCATTTCATCCAAGTCAAGCAATCGTTTCTCCCCAGCAAGTTGTGCGTCGAAGTTTAGCTTCTTGATTACCCAATATGCCTTGTGTTCCAACTCAACCGGGAGGTGGCAGGCTTTTCCATATACCATCTTAAAAGGCGACATTCCCAGAGGTGTTTTGAATGCCGTCCTATAGGCCCATAATGCCTCATCGAGCTTGGGGGACCAATCTTTCCTTCGAGGGTTCACCACATTCTCAAGGATTTGTTTGACTTCACGATTGGACACCTCAGCTTGCCCATTTATCTGCAGGTGGTATGTCGTGGCAATCTTATGTCATACTCCATATTTCTGCAATTCCTTGGTAATTAATATGTTGTCGAAGTGGGTGCCTTCATCACTGATGATGGCTCTCGGTACTCCAAATCGAGTGAATATGTTCTTGTAAAGGAACTTGAGCACCGTCTTTGAGTCGTTCTCGGCGTAGCAATTGCTTCAACCCACTTCGAGACATAATCCACCGCAAGCAAAATGTATAAATCCCCAAAAGAAGATGGGAATGGTCCCATAAAATCAATGCCTTAAACATCGAAAAGTTCTATCTCCAGAATATTTTGCAGTGGCATTTCATGTCGTCTGGAAAGGTTTCCAGTGCGCTGGTATCTGTCGTACGCTTTGCAAAATTCGTGGGCATCTTTAAATAATGATGGCCAATAAAAGCCCGATTGGAGGACCTTTACAGCAGTCCTCGAACCTCCAAAATGCCCTCCACAGGTTGCTGTGTGGCAATGGTATAAGATATTACGTTACTCCTCTTCGAGGACACACCGCCTAATCATTTGATCGGCACATTGCTTGAACAAGTACGGCTCATCCCAAAAGTAGAACTTGGCATCATGCATAAACTTCTTCTTGCCCTGGCTATTTAGTTCATAAGGGAAAACATCGCTAACAAGAAAATTAACAAGGTCAGCGTACCACGGAATTACCGTGGAATATAAAATTTTCTCGTCAGGGAATTCTTCTTTAATATCAAAAATGTAATGGCATTCTGAAACGTTCTCTAGCCTATATAGGTGGTCTGTAACCTGATTTTCAGTACCTTTCCTGTCAACTACCTCTAAATCAAATTCTTGCAATAGTAATATCCATCTTATCAGTTTAGGCTTGGCATCTTTCTTGTTCACTAAATATTTTATAACAGAATGATCGGTGTGAACTATGACCTTTGTGCCTATCAAGTATGACCTAAACTTGTCAAATGCAAATACCACGTCAAGTAATTATTTTCAGTAGTAGTGTAATTCAATTGTGCATCATTTAAGGTACGGCTAGCATAATAAATCACATGAAAAATTTTACCTCTATGTTGTCCGAGCACAGCTCCTACGGCAAAATCACTTGTATCGCATATTAATTCGAACGGTGCCATCCAATTTGGGGAACTACGATCAGCGCAGAGATAATGCTTTGCTTCAGCTCTTTAAATGCGCCATGGCATTTTTGATCGAACACAAATGGTTGATTCTATTAAAGTAGGGTACACAAGGGCTTGGATATTACAGAGAAGTCCTTGATAAATCTTCGATAAAATCCAGCATGTCCAAGGAAACTCTGAATGCCCTTGACAGAGTTTAGTGGAGGAAGTTTCTCGATTACCTCAATCTTGGCCTTATCAACTTAAATGTCTTTTGTAGAAATCTTGTGACCCAGAACAATGCCTTCTGTTACCATGAAGTGGCATTTTCCCAATTCAGTACCAAGTCGGCCTCTTCGCACTGCTTCAACACCTTTGTCAAATTACCGAGGCATTTTTGAAAGTCGTTACCAGAGACAGAAAAATCATCCATAAAAATTTCAAGATAATCCTCAACCATGTCAGATAATATGGCTTGCATGTAGCGATTAAAAGTTATCGGGGCATTACAGAGTCCAAAAGGCATCATTCGGAAAGCATAAGTGCCATAGGGGCACGTGAACATGGTCTTCTCTTGGTCCTCTGTGCGATGGCAATCTGGTTGTACCCCGAGTAACCATCCAAGAAACAATAAAATGCCTTGTTAGCAAGTCGATCTAGCATTTGATCGATGAACGGAAAAGGGAAGTGATCCTTCTTGGTGGCCTTGTTAAGCTTACGGTAGTCCATGCAAATTCGCCACCCGGTGATCGTGCGAGTAGGTATCAATTCATTGTCTTCACTCGTCACTACGATCATGCCCCCTTTCTTGGGCACGCATTGAACGGGACTTACCCACGAACTATCCGAAATGGGGTAAATTACTCTAGCGTCCAGCCATTTGAGAATCTCCATCACAACTTGCTTCATGATTGGGTTCAATCTCCATTGTGACTCTATAGATTTTCCATGACATTCTTCCAACAGGATTTTGTGCATGCAGATTGTTGGACTTATTCCCTTCATATCTGCCATCGTCCACCCCAACGTTTTCTTATACTGTGACAAAACACTCAGCAAAATAGTTTCTTGGTTAGGAGTAAGGGCAGAGGAAATAATCACAGGCAATGTCTCATCACTACCCAGATAAGCATATTTAAGATACTATGGAAAATTCTTAAGTTCTAAGGTATGAGCATGCTATAATGAGGGCTTGGGAGGAACAAACTCTTCAAAGTTTAAAGGTTCAAAATGCGTACCTGGGCTAGCCTTGAGAAAGCTAGCCTGCTGTTCCTCGGATTAAAAGTCGTTAGGCTCTTCGGCCTTTAAGTCTTCCAACAGTCCCGCATTATCACCCAGCTGAATGAAATTGTCATGGAAAAATTTATCTGCTTCTTTTGCAATTACTGTGTAAACTTCTAAAATGCTCTGGCATTCTTCATAATCATCCATGCACTTAAGTGATCGGAAAACATTTACGGTGACATGTTGATCAGCCACTCGCATCGTTAGCTCTCCCCTCTCACAGTCGATCAGAATACGAACGGTAGCTAGGAAGGGTCTCCCCAAGATTATGGGTGTTTGTGGCGTCAACCTCACAGTCCAGAATCAGAAAATCGACTGGAAAGACGAACTTGTCAACTAGTACGATGACATCTTCAATTCGCCCCTCTGGACGAACGTGCGAACGATCAGTTAATTGCAAGATGATTGAGGTGGGTCTCACATTTCCTATCCCAAGCTGGACGAATATTGACTTAGGCATCAAGTTCACACTTGAGCCAAGGCCACATAATGCATTCCCAACAAATTTATCTCCTATTGAACATGGGATGATGAAGCTGCCCGGATCATGTCTCTTTGGTGGCAGTTTACTTAAGGAAGAGCAAAATTCTTTTGCCATGGCAATTGTTTCATACTGCTCAACCTTTCTCTTCTTGGTAACGATTTCCTTTAAAAATTTGGCATAGGTGGGCATTTGTTCCATAGCCTCTAGAAAAGGAACATTGATTTGCAGTTGACTCAGAATGTCAACAAACTTTTTAAACTGAATATCTTCGTTGTGCTTCTTCAGTCTTTGCGGAAAAGGAAGTGGGGGTCTGGCTTCCTGTTCTGACGGGGTACGAACAGAAGTTACATTGGCATCTTTGTTTTCCCATCAGTTTCTTTACTTGATGACTCCTCAGCCATTTCCTCTTCCACTGGTGCTTCTTCTTGCACTTCATTATTAGCTTGCTCGGTCACAGGGGGGTGACTCATCCTTTGGTGTTCCCCCAAACATGTCTTCAGCGTTAATTTGTGTACCACTTCGGAGAGTTATCACACTGAAGCTCTCTTTTCCATTAGGTTTAGTGACTTCAGTGTCACTCGGTAATTGTCCTGGTTTGCGTTCTTGTAATGCCACGGCAATTTGACCTTGACTTTCTAGCGCCCTCAGCGACGAACTATGACTCTGGAGCAGCGCTCCTTGATTTTTGATAGAGGTCGCATGGTCTTGCATCATTGTTTTTATTGTTGCAATAAATTCTTGTATTATGGCTTCCAGAGAACTTGTGTTTGATGAAGATGGTCCTCCTTTGTTAGAATTATGCCATGACATATTCGATTGATAACCCTGAGAGTCATTGTAATTCTGTTGTCGAGCTGGTTGATGGGCATTATTGGATCCTTGATTTCCCCATGAAAAGTTCGGATGTTGATGCCATCCAGGATTATATGTGTTGGAATAAGGGTTGTTGTTACCTCGATTAAAATTGCCTACAAAGTTGATGGATTCTTGATTGGTTGGGCAATCATTCTCGTTGTGATTGCCGTGGAATAATAAACATGCTGAATGAGCTACCTTCACTTCTCTCACCTCACATTGTCTTTGCAAATTCTTCAACATGTTGGTGATAGCAGTAAGTTAGGCGGACACGTTATCTTTAGAATCTAGATCGAAAGCTCCATATGACTTGCGCCCAGCTCTAGCCGTGTGGATGGAAATTAATAATCATTAGTGGAAATCTTATCTAGAATGTCAAATGCCTCTCCTGGTGATTTGTCAAGCAGCGTCCCATTTTCCGAGGCATCAAGCATCATCCTCGTGGGTGCATTTACTCCATTATAGAACATCACCACTTGGGTCTAATCTTGAAAACCATGATTTGAGCACTTGCGAAGCAATGCCTTGTATCGATCCCAACATTCATACATCGACTCGTCATCAGCTTGACGGAAGGAAGTAATGTCGTTCCTCAATTGAGTGTTCATATTCGGAGGATTATACCGCAGCAAAAATTTTTTGCACCGATCTGTCCACGATTCCATTGAACTCGCTGGAACGCCACTCAACCACGCCCTTGCTCGGTCACATAAGGAATAAGGAAACAACTTTAATTTCAAAACATCTTCGTGCACCCCTTGTTGGCGGAACGAATCACACACCTCCAAGAAGTTACGAATATGCTGTCTGGCATCTTCATTTGGCATGCCCCCAAACTGTCCTATAGTTCAACATATTGAACATGACGAGTTTAAGCTCGAAATGGGCTGCCTAAATATTTGGGGCCACAATTCCCGAATTTAAATCTTCTAAGATCGGATTTAAGTGATCACGAATGGTGCGAGGTCTGGCTGCATTCCTAGAATTTAAATTTGCCCCGACATTCTAATCCTCTTCATGGCCAGTGCCTTGATTTCCGAGTTGGTACATGTTTACATGTTGAGCGCATCTTCTGTGTCTAAAAAGCCTCTCGATTTAAGGATCAATAGGTTCTAATGGCTCTTCAGGATTACTTTGGGTCATGTACCTAGAAAAATAAATGAAGAAAAATTAAGGAAAGTAAAAAAAATATTAAGCTAACTAAAAAGAAAATATGAACAAGCAAAATAAGAATGTTATGACAAATCAATTGAACTTCCAGTTGCCAACTCCCCGGCAACGGCGCCAAAAACTTGTCCGCTCTTTGTGAGTACTAAATATGGGTGCGGATATGTGTGCAAGTATACACAATTGAACAAGAAATAAAGTGATAAGTCGAGTATCGTCTCCACAGGGACTTAGGGAAATCAAATAGGTTTGTCAAGGCACTTTACTTTGTCACCTAAATAAAGTTAGTGATGGTATAAATAAATGATAATGTTGTGGCAAAATGGAATGACTGATGTGGAAATAGAATGATGGTGGTGTGGTAGTAATTATATATGTCGTGGCAAATGAAATTATAATACGTGCAAGTAAAATGGAAATGTCAAGGCAAAATAAAAATACAAATACTGGATTTAATTTGTAGGACTTTAGCTTTCTCACACAACTAGCAGCAATGGGAATGAACGATGGGAGTCACTAGGAAAACCTATGTCTATTTCTCTGAATGGTATTTCATGTATGCTTAACCTGCCCGACAGAGTCTACTAAAGTTCCCTCAGCTATCTCTAGGAAGGGACTCGACAGATTAAAGATGCCCTGGCAAATCCGATTGGCGTAAACCCCTACAGTGATCCTATTTATTTAGATAACAGGATATGTCTCAGCAATACCTTTTTGCGGCAGCATTAACATCTAACCTATTGGTTATGCTCTACTCCATTTAGTCGAATAAAATCCTATTCTTATCTCTAAGATGAATTAGGCCTAGTTACTGTCTAGAAGCCCTTTGTTTATGTAGTTCCTCCCTAGCTTCTCTCGAAGACTAAAGATATTTTGCCTAGGCATTCTCTCGAACCCTAAACACCTTCTAAGGAAAGACTACTCTCGTAGCTCCTACAACCTCAAAGAATTAAGTTTCATAAACAAAATAGATTAAAACATAACAAAACAACCATTCATTGAAAATAAAACTTAGACATCCAAGTGAACTCCCACCAAATAGGATTAGTTCATGGTGGGGTTCGAAATAAACAAGTTCAAGACAAGTTCCATTCGTTCCTTACAACCCAACGACAAAATATGAAAGCAAAGAATTAAGGGGAGGAGAGAAAGCCTTAGACGTGCATTGCCCAATGCTCCTCTCGACCACCAAGAACTGCTCCCAGCGGACTGGCTCTTCTCGTATGCTCAGAACGCCACTCCCTTCTGCTAGTTAAGGAGAAATGCCACGAAAAGACGGATTGACTGAGAGAGGTGAGACCTTCTCACTCTAACTTTTTAAGCTTAAACCAGTATGTAACTAAAGTCCTCTTTAATATGGCTTCATCCTCTATTTATATGGGAAACAAATCCTAGGACTTGATGTTAACTATCTTAGGAAACCCCAAAACCATAGTTGAGCTACTTGGGAGCCGAGCAGGCAGTCTATAATGCAGCCTGGGTAGCTGGCTGATGGACCGGCAAAATCCTGCTGCTGGCGCCCAAGGACAGGCATGATCTACAGGGTCAGGTGGCGTCATCAGCAGAAACGGCGGGCATAGCGTCGATCCCTCCAGGCGGATCTTCGAGGTGGATTTCTCGGGCAGAGCTCTCGAGGAGTCGGATACAACTGGCTGCAAAAATATCTTCTCGCACTTACAACACTTTCGAAATGCCAGTTGAACTTGGCAAATTCAATTTGCTCAGCAATATCCCTATGTCACGGCATTTTCTTTCCTCTTCTTCTTGCTATCAATACCTGCACATCATCAGACAAGTACCTTTCTCGTAAAGCAGCACCGTAGTAAAAATAAAATGCCACGGCAAATCGAAATCCACCACATGCAACTAAATGCTTTAAAATACGTATACATGATCCTAAATGAGCCTTTAGACATCCAATAACTTAAGTAAAAAGATCTCAAAATATGGCCTTTTACGGAGTTATCACCTACATTGTTACAATGAAGTTCTCAATTATTATTAGTGTCTTATGTGATCAATCAGGGTTGTAAATAAGGATTTAAAACATGCATATAACATAAAACATTGAATATACCATTAACATGTTCATCAAGCTTATTTCTCAACTTTCATGTTATCTAACACTTCTAATGACCCACTAATAAGTATGAAGAAGTTGTAAGTGTGGTTACTTCGTATTCTTGGCTAAATGCAAAGCCCCCAACTCACTCAAGAGGTGATTTCTCTTTTCCTTTGGCTTTTAAGTTTTCTCCCACTTCTTTGACTATTCAAGGGTAAGAAAAGGAATTCTAAGCGAACTAAGTGATGGAAATGAGGATGTGAACATTTCCTTTAACGTAAATCTATCAAAACAACTTATAATCCATGATTTCTCTTAAACCTCCCAAAAAACCCATTTTGAAAACTCAATCTAAAACTTGAAATATGGAGCTCAATTTAAAGCTTGGAAGATGATGATTCACATTCTTACCTTGGCTCAACCAAACTAGAATTGGAATACTTAAAATATCTACTTGAGAAATGAAGAAGAAGATAAGAAAATGGAAGGAAGAAGAAAAAGAGTTTGTGAGATATTTGGGGTAGTTTACGTGACCTGATATAAAAATAAAGGGGAAGTTTTCAGCTTAAAACAAAAATGGGTAAACTATACTTTAGGTCCCTACACTTTCAAGCTCATGAAAATATCATCTCGTTTCATAAAACTTTAAGGCCCAACTCAACCTAATTCCAAATAAACTTAGTCCAAGCTAATTTAATAAATCCTTTG